GACCTCGATCAAAATATTTAAACAAACAAAGTTACAATCTAACAATTAGGTTGATTAGGGACCATAACCAAAACAACCAAAAACGAGTTTTCTATTTTTAATTTTATTAAAAAAAATGAAAATTGAAAACAAAACGTTTTTATCAAATGTCCCTTTAATAATTAGTCGAAGCCAAATTGGACTTGGCTTTCCAACAACAATTTTAATTCATTTTGTCTTGGCGGCTGGAGAAAATTGCAAGTCTTGAAGCAGTTGAAAAGTATTAAGGACAAGGACACCCTTCGGATATTTTTTAAGGAATCTGGATAATCAATCCATCATGTTCCCATCCCTATTTTTCTTTCTCCATTGATTAAAACTTTATTCCTTTTTAATTTTTGATTAAGGTCCTTAAATTTTCAAAAACACCATTAATTATACCAATAATAAAATAATTTTTATTTCTAAATAAGTAAATATATTCATTTAGTGTTGGAAACATTACATTTGGTATATTCATATTTAAGGCTAATTTTTTTTATCATATATATATATTTTTTCGTTTGCACCCATTTTTAATTTACAACTCTTTTTTTTTTAATTTGTACCCATTTTATTTTTTAATTTGTACACATATATTAATTCCTTTTTGTGCCCATATTTTTTAAACTTTTATTTGTATTTGTACCCATTTTTTATTTTGCTAAACGTATCCATGCTAATTATATGTATTTTGTTTTTTTTTATGTTTTAGGATATATCAATAGTTATTTTTTGAAATATGTTCATTATTATGTGGGTATATTATTATTATTATTATTATTTTGCTATACTTTTTTGTTAAGAACAATATTACTCTAAAATTGATTTTTAACACTTTGTTATATTTTAAAATTATTATTTGAATTTGTTTAGATTTCATAATTTGTGAGGCATTAAATGCATAATTACATGAGTTAAATCTCTTAAATGATGCTAAGGATCTCGATCAAAATATTTAAACAAACAAGATTTCAATCAAACAATTAGGTTGATTAGAGACCGGAAGCAAAATAACCAAAAACGAGTTTTCTATTTTTAATTTTATTAAACAAAATGAAAATTGAAAAAAAAAACGTTTTTATCAAATGTCCCTTTAATAATTAGTCGAAGCCAAATTGGACATCGCTTTCCAACAACAATTTTAATTCATTTTTTCTTGGCGACTGGATAAAATTGCAAGTCTTGAAGTTGAAAAGTATTATGGACAAGGATCCTCTACGGATCTTTTTTATGGGGATCCGAAGGATGAATCAATCGTGTCCGTTTATCATACATCGTGCGATCAATTTTAATCAGGTACTGTTTATATTTAATTTGAAATAAAAAATTTAAAATAATTTTTCTTCGCATGCTTGAGCGCATCTTTCCCCTTTCTATTAGTAAGGTTAAGGTTTTCAAATTAAAGTTTACTTGCTTACTTTAACCCCGGGGTGATCATCACCACCTGCACCTCACATCTCGGCACAGTGGAACGTGTAACACAAGCTTTTCCTGTTCCAAGTATTACCAGTACTAGCTGGCAGCTATCAGGAATAATTCACAATAAATTTCCGCATGTATAAAATTAAAAGTTCAAAACCCGCATAGTTTCACTCTTCCTGAGTAGCTAGTCCTCTCTTATTTAAGGCTAATACGTTGTATGGACATGGACACGAAGATACAACACGACACAATGAAGATATATCAAATTTTAAAAAATGACAACATGATATATACGCAGAAAAATTAAATATACCAAAAATATTATAAAATAACCATTCAAATTTATTACTCAAGTACAAATTTATATTATTAGACCCAAACCTTCAGTTATGTACTTATGTTGGCACATCTGCAATTTAATTATTAAATTAAAAAAAAAAAACCAAACAACGCCAAAGTCATCCGAGAAACTAAATAATATTGAACCATCACCGGATGGTCTATTAGTTAGGAATGAATTTTACAAGGCACATCATGAGTTTGATTTTCGGTGTATTTAAATTACACGATGGTGGTTAGGAGAAGACTAAAATGTCTCTGTGAGGCTTTCCAACCCTTGAAAAAATAGATTGCCGAGGTGAAGAACTAAAGAATATTATAGTTTACATGAGGCAACAACCACATATAATATATTATAATAGAAAAATTAGGTTCCTATCCCTATTTTTCCTTCCTTTTCAATTCTTGATCAAGGTCATTAGATTTTAATAAACATCATTAATTATTCTAATAATAAAATATTTTTTATTTCTAAATAAGTAAATATATTCATTTAGTGTTAGAAACGTTACATTTGATATATTCATATTTAAGGCTAAATTTTTTTATCATATATTTTTATTTTTAGTTTGTACCCATTTGTAATTTGCAACCTTTTTTTTTAACATGGGGCCACAACCACATATAATATATTATAATAGAAAAATTAGGTTCCTATTCCTATTTTTCCTCCTCCATTGATTAAAACTATATTCCTTTTCAATTTTTGACCAAGGTCCTTAGATTAAAAAAAAAAACTTCATTAATTATTCCAATAATAAAATATTTTTTATTTCTAAATAAGTAAATATATTCATTTAGTGTTAGAAACGTTAGATTTGATATATTCATATTTATGGCTAATTTTTTTATTATATATTTTTATTTTTAGTTTGTACCCATTTTTAATTTGTAACCCTTTTTTTAATTTGTACCCATTTTCTTTTTTAATTTGGACCCATATATTAATTCATTTTTGTGCCCATATTTTTTATACTTTTATTTGTATTTGTACCCATTTTTAATTTTGCTAAATGTGCCCATGCTAATAATATGTATTTATTTTATGTTTTAGAATATATCAATAGTTATTTTTTTAAATATCTTAATTATTATGTGGTTACATTTTTTTTTTGCTATACTTTTTGTGAAGAACAATATTACTCTAAAATTGGTTTTTAACTATTTATTATATTTTAAAAATATTATTTGAATTTGTTTAGAGACATTAAATGCATAATTGCATAGTTAAATCTCCTAAATGATGCTAAGGACATCGACCAAAATATTCAAACAAACAAGATTCAATCTAACAATTAAGTTGATTAGGGACCGAAATCAAAATGATTCTATAATAAATATATCATTAAACTATAGTGTTTGTGGGTCTACCGTAAAAATGTCTTTATTTTAATAAATAACACTCTCATCATTTTTAGATCGTACAACTCCCCGTTTGACAGTTGAAATGATTTATTTTTCGATCCTCATCTAAAACATTATACATACAAAAAATCATCAAAATCTAAAAGTTTCAAATAAAAATACGAATAATCAAATTATAAACCATTATTATTATAGTAAAAAATACCAAAAATATTTTAAAGATCATATATACAAAAAAATCAAGATCTAAAAATAAGAAAAACTCGCCACTTAGTACTATAGTCTAGTGGTATTTTTCTTCACTTGTAAGTGAGAGGTTTTAGGTTCAATTCTCGACATAGACGAATTTGAACCACATTATTGCTAGCCCATTGTGAGGCTAAACCCACCCTCTCCCTCTTAGTGTAGATAATATCGTTTGTTCGAAAAGAAAAAAAACTCAGGCTTCTTCTATGAATTATCAATGGGTAATGCTAGATAAACTAAATTGGTAGACAAAATTTGTAAACAAAATAATGTCGCTAATAGTAAATGAGCACGTTTATCGATACTTCAGTAATAATCCAATCATCAACTTCTATGTCATTTGGTTTACCAAATTTTGTCTACAGATTTAGTCTTTCTAGCATTACTCTAATGAAACTAAATTATTAGGATAAGGATAATGCTAGGGAGACCAAAATTTTAAACCAAATTTACAAAATCAAATGATGTGTTATCTATAGGAAATAAGTAAGTTAATCAATACTTAAGTAATAATCCAATCATCAACGTCCACTTCATTGGCTTACCAAATTTGGTTTAGAAATTTTTTCTTACTAGCATTACCCAATTATTAACCAAGTTCACCATGTAGTCGAATTATTTTATATAAATAGGAAAAGTGAAATGCCAATTTGTTCCTGAATTATTACCCAAGTGAAAATTAGGTTTCTAAATTATTATTATTATTTTCTTTAGAAAAACCAGTCATTCAATTATAAAAATCTACCAATTATATTCCTAATATTAGATTTGAAGCTACTGTATTCAAATTTTCGTCAATTTAAGTCATATTGTTTGCATGCGATACATATTGGAGGGTAGATTGGTAATTTTTCATAAAGAAATAGTGTATAGAGTTAACTCTGGAGAGTAAATTAGACGTTTGATTTGCAACCTATATGAAATGTTAAGGGTTTATGCAAGAAAATAATGGTATTACACTCTAAAGTGTGTTAAGTAACTTAAGTTGACGAAAAATTAGATAAAATAGCTTTGAAAATCATAGTATTGTTGCAGTCATATTTAGAATAGGAATGTGATTGTATAAATCTTAGGGAATCTGGGAAAGTATCTTATATTCCTATTAGGATTAGATTAGCTATTAAATATTGTAATCCTAAAGGGAAAGATTTTACCCTTCCTACTACTATAAATAAAGGCATAATGGGATGAATCAAAGACACCTCACAATTAAATCAATCTCTCCTCTCTCTCAATATTACCGAACCCCTCTCTCTCTCTAAACCTTAGATCATTCAATCAAATAATCCTACAACAAGTATAAACGAAAATAATAATTTTTAATAAATTTAAGGACTTATTTACTAAATCGGCACATCATCCAAATAGGAATGTTAAAATTCCAAATTCATGCCTCCCACGTCCCTCAGTGCGTGTTCTTTATAAGGATCCAGAGGCACTGTTCAAAGTCCCACAGAGAGAGGAGAGAGACCCACCAGCAGCACTAGATGTAAAGCATTCAGCAACTTTGATTCTTCCTTGTCACTACCCTCCCTCCACGTGCGTCCTCTCGTACATTCACAGGTTCGCTTCTTTAAAAACCGACCCAGCTTACCATTTTTCTTTGTTTTCCTATCCATTTAATATAATCCCAATAATTTTGTTTGCACCTGCGGCATTTCAATGGCGATTGGGTTGTTGGGTTTCGATCTTTTGCTTCTTATCTGAATTGGGTTCCCATTGTTCTTATACAATTGGCCTTTTTTATGCAGGTCTCGTCCATTAAACTCTCCCTGTACGTAGAAGCCAGAGTTTTTCATATTCTTTGAGTTGGGTTAGTTAGATTTTCAAAAAGTTTCTGAATTTATTTCTGCCATTGATGGATGTCTCACTGGAGATTTCGAATGTAGCTTTTTTCATAGTGTTATTAACGTGGGTTTTGCTTGATATTATGAGAGGAAGAAAAAATGGTAGCCAAACAGGTTTGAGATATAGAGCGGAAGACAGAGGGTGCAAATTTCCTGATTTGGTCACCTTTTCAGCAAATGCTTTAATCTCAAGCTTTTACCTTGGTTTTGGGATTTATGAGTATTGGGGTGGTAGAATTGTAAGCTGTAAATCCATCTTCTCAGGCATGACTTGGGTTTTGGCCACAGTAGTTACAGGTTACTCAATGATTTACAGAGCTCACAGTGAGCCAAAAAGGTGGCCTTGGGTCCTCAGTTTCTGGTGGATCTTTTCCTGCATTTTTTACTCACTTTCTGTGTGCTTTTACCTCATTGCTCACTTCAAATTCTACAAATTTCCAGAGATTTTCCCAAAGGCTAGTTTAGTCGATTTCGCTTCGTTTCCTTTGTCAATACTGCTTTGTTTCAATGCTTTTAGTTACGTCCAGAAAAACAATGACCTTAAACACCCATTACTTGAGAAGGAAGATGAAATTCCCTCCCAAGAGAGTGACACTTACACCAATGCTGGAATTTGGAGTAAGGTTACATTTCAATGGCTGAACCCGCTTTTCAAACGGGGTCGAACCCAAAAGCTGGAATTGCCTCATATACCATCTATTCCTCCCTCAGAAAGAGCAGCATACGCTTCCTCTTTGCTCGACGAATCACTGAGCAAACAGAAGATGGAAGACTCTTCGTTGCCAAAATCCATAATGCTGGCTGTGCGAAGATCATTAGCTGTAAATGCTGTTTTTGCCGGTAAACTCGTTGTTCTTGGATCACTTTTCTTTTTAGTTTTTGTTTTATTCAGTCCTGCAGGTTTTTATGTGTTTTTTTAATTTATTTTTGTAGGAGTCAATACGGCTGCATCATATATAGGTCCTTTTCTGATTACAAATTTTGTAAATTATTTACTCGAAAAACAAGATGATTCAGGCAACCGCCATGGACTGATTCTTGCGTTAGTATTTTTCGTTGCTAAGACATTGGAATCATTGAGTCAAAGACAGTGGTATTTTGGTGCTCACTTAATTGGTGTACGAGTAAGAGCAGCTCTCACTGTGTTGATTTACAAGAAATCTATTTCCATCAAGTATTCGGGTCCAAGCAATGGTAAAATTATTAATTTGATCAATGTGGATGTTGAAAGAATTGGAGACTTCTGCTGGTACGTTCATGGCATCTGGTTGCTCCCGCTTCAGGTATTTTTGGCCTTGGCTATCCTTTACAGGAATCTTGGTGCAGCCCCCTCTGCTGCTGCTCTTCTTTCCACTGTTTTGGTCATGGTATGCAACACACCGTTGGCCAATAGGCAAAAAAGGCTTCACTCCAAGATCATGGAAGCGAAGGATTCGAGAATCAAAATAACATCGGAGATTCTGAAGAGCATGAGAGTTTTAAAGCTGCATTCATGGGAGTCCACATTCTTGAAGAAGCTGCTTCAGCTCAGGGAAACAGAGAGGCATTGGCTGAAGAGATACCTTTATACATGCTCGGCGGTTGCCTTCTCTTCTGGGCTTCACCAACTCTAGTTTCAGTTACCACTTTTGGTGTTTGCATTATACTAAACACACCTTTGACAGTAGGTACTGTATTGTCCGCTTTAGCTACTTTCAGAGTTCTACAAGAGCCTATCTACAACCTGCCAGAGCTCATTTCCATGATTACACAGACAAAGGTATCGATTGATCGTATCCAAGAATTCATCAAAGAAGATCAAATGAAGCTGATTCCTTGCCATCATTCAAAAATATCCAATGTCATGATTGTTATCGAGACAGGAGAGTATGAGTGGAAAACAAGCAATCAAAACTTAAAGAAACCTACAATCAGAATTACAGAGAAAATAAAAATACCGCAGGGATACAAGGTTGCTGTTTGTGGCTCAGTTGGTTCTGGCAAGTCAAGCCTACTATTGAGTATACTTGGTGAGATTCCCAAAATTTCTGGGCCAGGAGCAAAAGTTTATGGCACAAAAGCTTATGTTCCACAAAGTGCTTGGATTCAGACTGGAACGATAAGGGAGAATGTATTGTTTGGCAGGAAAATGAAAAGGGGATTCTATGAGGATGTTTTGGAAATTTGTGCTTTGGACCAGGATGTCAAGATGTGGGCAGATGGAGATTTGACGGTAGTGGGAGAGAGAGGGATGAACCTAAGTGGAGGAGAAAAGCAAAGAATTCAACTCGCACGAGCTGTGTACAGCGATTCAGATGTTTATATTTTGGACGATCCTTTCAGTGCTGTTGATGCACATACCGGAACACACTTGTTTAAGGCAAGCCAAACTTCTCATCATTTTATATTTTCTTTAGTTTTTTCTGATATCGTTATTTTATGTTTTATGTAGCGACATGGTTTTAATCAGACGTAATGTTTTGCAGAAATGTCTCTTGCAACACTTGTCCCAGAAGACTGTTATCTATGCCACCCACCAATTAGAATTTTTAGAGGCAGCAGACCTTGTCTTGGTAAGTTTTTGAAATTTTCGTTTTTATACTCAGATGATTACATGTTTTATCGAGTCTCATATCTCTCCGGTTTAATTCAATTGCTGATAGGTTATTAAGGATGGTCAAATTTCTCAGTCTGGAAAATATGAAGATTTGATTGTGGATCCCAACAGTGAACTTGTTAGACAAATGTCTGCACATAAAAAATCATTTGAACAAGTTAACACTTGCCAACAAGATGATTCCTTTAACAGAAAATCTCATCAAGTTAATCTCATAGAGGTTTTAGATGAAGAAGAAAAGCCTTTCAACAACGGCAAGCTTTCAGAAAAAAGTCATGAAGAGGAAGCGGTAACTGGTCGAGTAAAATGGAATGTTTACTCAACATTTGTCACTTCTGCTTATAGAGGTGCTCTTGTCCCGGTCATCCTACTCTGTCAAGTCCTCTTCCAGGGACTACAAATGGGAAGCAATTACTGGATTGCTTGGGCAGCGGAGAAAGAATCCAGGGTCAGCAAACAGCGGTTGATTTGGGTATTTGCTCTGTTGTCTGGTGGGAGTTCCATCTTCATATTGGGAAGGGCAGTTTTTCTGGCAACTATTGCTATTCAGACTTCTCAGCGTCTCTTCCTTGGAATGATTACTTCAGTTTTCCGAGCACCAATTTCATTTTTTGACTCCACACCTTCTAGTCGAATCCTCAATAGGGTCAGTTTAAATTCATCTTCCGTTTGCCTGTTTAATAAATCCCATTGAAGTATAAATCAAGTTCGACCACTTAATTCTTATTCCCCAGTTAATGTTTGCAGTCTTCTTCGGATCAAAGCACAGTAGACATTGATATTCCATATAGATTAGCTGGATTGGTATTTGCCCTCATCCAGCTAATAAGCATCATCATCCTTATGTCTCAAGTGGCCTGGCAAGTCTTCATTCTTTTCCTTCTTGTTCTTGCACTCTCCGGCTGGTATCAAGTAAGTAATATCCCATTTTGAATTTAGTTTTACTTTTTAAACTTTCGATTTTATTTAGAACCTCCAAGGGTATCTGCGCCATATTGCACAATGAAAGTTGACGGTTCTTTCAGCTCATATTCAAGTATTTGGTACGGGTATTTTATTTTATTTTATATGTTTTGCAGGCTTATTACATTACCACAGCTAGAGAACTAGCCAGGATGGTTGGAATTCGAAAAGCTCCAATTCTTCATCACTTTTCAGAATCGATATCAGGGGCAGGAACAATTCGGTGTTTCAGTCAAGAAGGCCGCTTCCTGATGAAAGTAATGACCTTGATTGATGATTATTCTCGCGTAGCCTTTCACAATTATGGCACGATGGAGTGGCTATCTGTTCGGACGAACTTTCTGTTTAACCTTGTCTACTTCCTACTTCTGATCATCTTGGTGAGCTTGCCTAGGTCTGCCATTGACCCTAGTAAGCACCTCCAATCCCTGATTTTTGTTGAGCATTAGTTTAACTGTCAGTATGTCTTGGAATGCATTATCAGGCATTGAAATTCCAACTCTTAACTAATGGAGTACTTGCTCTGGTCTTAGGTTTGGCGGGATTGGCAGCTACCTATGGTTTGAACCTGAATGTCCTTCAGGCTTGGGTAATATGGAATATGTGCAATGTAGAAAACAAAATGATTTCTGTCGAGCGGATTCTTCAATTCACAAATATACCAAGTGAGGCACCGCTTGTGATTGAAGATTGTAGACCAGCGCCTCAATGGCCTATGGCCGGAAGAATTGAACTTGAAAACCTTCATGTGCAATATAATCCAGCTCTCCCAACCATTCTCAAGGGGATCACTTGCACCTTCCCTGGAATGAAAAAAATAGGAATTGTGGGCAGGACTGGGAGTGGAAAATCCACTCTGATCCAAGCTCTCTTCAGAGTAGTAGAACCCTCGGGAGGGCGAATTCTTATTGATGGTGTCGATATATCTAAAATAGGTCTGCAGGACTTGAGGTCAAGGTTGAGCATAATTCCACAAGACCCGACATTATTTCAGGGAACCGTGAGGACCAATCTGGATCCTTTGCAACAGCATTCTGATCAAGAGATATGGGAGGTGAGGATCAAAACTTTTTATTTTAGATAGATTATATGGTGGTATCGTTACTTATGCGACTCAATAACTCAGGTTATCAATCAATGCGGACTGACGGAGATTGTTAGGCAGGACCAAAGGCTTCTTGATGCACCTGGTATGAAGATCTCGTAATCTACTCAATCATATAATGAAAGTTGATCAATTGTTTTGTTGTCTCATTCACCGAGTTGCCTAATTTATTTGAAAATCTGGATTGTATTACAGTTGCTGAAGACGGAGAAAACTGGAGTGTTGGACAGAGGCAGCTCGTTTGCCTCGCTCGAGTGCTCTTGAAGAAAAAGAAAATTCTTGTGTTGGATGAGGCTACAGCTTCTATTGATACAGCAACAGATATTGTAATCCAGGAGACCATAAGGAAAGAAACGAGTGGATGCACCGTGGTCACTGTGGCTCACAGGATTCCTACTGTTATTGACAACGACTTGGTTCTAGTTCTTGACGAAGGTAGTGTAAGAATTCTTAAAATAGGGCTTTTTCTTACACTAAATTTAATAAACATAAAACAACATGCAACTTTACGACCGGCGAGAATACTTTTGATTGCTAGTATAACCTGGTCACTAGGTTTTTCCCAAGAGTGATAGAACATTTCACTTTAGCGGATTATTGAAAAACGTATTATTGATTAGGTGACATGCCCTGAAATGATTTTTTAACTGTTTGAATCGTACAGGCAAGGTTTTGGAGTACGATTCTCCAGCTCGGTTACTTGAGGATAGTTCTTCGGCATTCTCCAAGTTGGTGGCAGAATTCTTGGGGAGATCTTCCATGAGCAGCTGCTACAGAGATCCAAGTAGAGGCGCATCTTTGTAACTCCCAAACGATGCTGTTGGTTCGCGTTATTATTCTTACTACCCAAATGTTGACGTGAACGGATGAAGGATGATATTCTGCAACTGAAAGGTGCAATACCGATCGAAGTTGAAATGCCGGAAGCAGGGTCGTCCATGAGATTTTGGGGATTCTGTGCGAGACTCTAAGGGAGGCCTTTAAAAAGTATAGAATTTTGGTTGATATGTTTTTTTTTTTTACATTTTAATTTTTATTATTATGTATAAATTGAGGTAAAAAAAAACAAAAAACAAAAAAGACTGGTGTTGTGGTTAGGTACCTATTTGCATCCCTATGTTTTTGGGTTCGAAATTCCTTATTTTTGCATACCAAAAAAAAAGCCCTTAGAAGGTCTAACATTTTAGTTGCTATGTTTTCTTTTACATTTTAATTATGATTGTATATAATTGAGATAAGAAACCTTGTGTGAGACTATAAGGGAGGCCTTTAAAAAGTATAGAATTTTGGTTGATATGTTTTTCTTTTTACATTTTAATTTTTATTATTATGTATAAATTGAGGTAATAAAAAAAAAAAGACTGGTGTTGTGGTTAGGTACCTATTTGCATCCTTATGTTTTTGGGTTCGAAATTCCTTATTTTTGCATACCCAAAAAAACAGCCCTTAGAAGGTCTAACAATTTGGTTGCTATGTTTTCTTTTACATTTTATTTATGATTGTATATAATTGAGATAAGATTATGGTGGCTATAGAAGAATTTGGTAAATCATTGCAAATATAAATATATATACTATCTATACAGGCAAAATTAAATCATGATTGAGGCCCCTTCCGAATTGGGGGCCCTGTGCGGTGGCATCACTTGCACACCCTCAGGGCCGGCTCTGGCCGGAAGAACCTGCCGCTGGAATGGCACTCTTTCGTGCATGCGCAACTGATGTCGCAATGTCTCACACGGTGCAAATCTGCTCGTATCCCTGCCTGTGTCGACTTCAGAAGCCAGGCATCATCCTCGGAAACATGTCTAACGACTCGTGCTGGGGTCGCTCACGGCACCATTACCAGTAGAATTTGATAGCCATTCGATGGAAGCTCATACCGTGAAGATTGAAGTCCCAAAATACTGGGACTGCAAAACAAAGTCCTAAATATGTTATTTAGCTTTTGTAATAATCCCAAATTCCTTCTTTCATTTGTCCATGGAATCATCAGCTAATTAGTTTTTACGAAGATAAGCAACTTTTGCATTTAGATTCCTTCACTTCTTCAACTGATACGTGTCATTTTTTTACACAAAGAACAAGACCTTTAATGTTTTTAGCTAGAAATTAATGATGAAAAATAAAAAATATAATTTCAAATGCATTAAATATATATATATATATATATTTTTTTTTTTGTGTAAAAAAATTACAAGTGGCTTGTGAAGAAGAGAAAAAAACCAAATGCAAAAGGTTGCTAGCATTTCTCCACAACTTTTTCTTGAATCAACAAAAAAAAAATTATTAATAAAAACATTAACAGTAATGAAGCAATTCAAGAAAGAATTAATAAAACAAATCAAAGTTTAATTAAATTTATTTCGATTATAAAAGAGTCGCTTTCTAATACTAATATTAGTCTTAGTAAAAAAAAATTCAAATACTTTTTTTGACTTATCTTACTTTTCACAAGCATATGTATTTTACAAATTATCACAAACCAATGATAATTAATTAAGAATAATACTTGCATTCCCTCTTAGAGGAGAAAACTTTTAGTGTGTCCGGTACATCAAATGTCATAATACAATTGGTTGAAATTTGTTTTACTAACGATCTTACGTTTTTGTGTTAAAAAAATGACATGTGTTATCTGAAGAACAAGATCTTTATTGATAAGGGGAAGCATTTTTACGAAATCATCGGCACCATTACCAGTAGAACTTGATAGCCATTCGATGGAAGCTCATACCGTGAAGATTGAAGTCCCAAAATACAGGGACTGCAAAACAAAGTCCTAAATATGTTATTTAGCATTTTTAATAATCCCAAATTCCTTCTTTCATTTGTCCACGGAATCATCGGCTAATTAGATTTTACGAAGATAGCAACTTTTGCACTAACTTTTGCATTTAGATTCCTTCACTTCTTCAACTGACATGTGTCATTTTTTTACACAAAGAACAAGACCTTTAATGTTTTTAGCTAGAAATTAATGATGAAAAATAAAAAATATAATTTCAAATGCATTTGAAGTTGAATAAGATGCAGCTATGTGTTGTGCAGTGCCATTCATATAGCTAAAAAGTTAATCATGATACTATTCATTTTACCCTTTATCTTTCTTTATCGTTAAAATTCAAAATTTTCAAGCCATTTTCATTAGTTTTCCTTAATTAATATGGTACCATTTCTTGTGTTTCTTAATTCATATGAAGTTTGAATAAGATGCAGCTATGTGTTGTGCAGTGCCATTTTACTTCATAAAGTTTCTTTTTACTCTGGCCTATTTTATTATTATTATTTTTAAATGTAAGAGTTGAATGGTAAATAAAGGAGAGTTTTCTTTAATACGAACACGATTGATAATCATATTCTAATCTAATATGCACAAGCAAGGAGTTTCGAACCTGGAGGCGAGCGGAGAGTAGACTGCTATAGCTAACTTGATTAGATTCATATGTGCCCATTAAAATGAGAGTCTGTAGGATTTTACATCTCATTTTATTTATTTATTTATTTTGAATTTTACAATCATTAAGGAGAGGAGCAGGGTTTGAAACTATTACATTAATTTAAGGGAAGAACAAGGGGGCGGAGCTAGGACTTTTTTGGGTGGGCTAACTGAAATTAATTTAGTATCACAAAATTATATGTTGATTTTTTTTACCTATATAAAATTATATAATAATAAACATGAAATAACAACGATGAAATATAAACTTTTCTCAAAATTGTAATCTAATCGACAAATTCAAGGACCATATAAATATTTAACCTGCTAATTAAATCAAGAATAGTAAAAAAAGAGATTAACAACGTACCAATGTGACATTCATTGGAAAATCTCAATGGAAAGTAAGGAAATTACGGAGCTAGGGGTTTAATGGTTAATTAAAAGTTCTTTTCTTGAGTACGAAGCACAATGGCTAGATTGCACAGGGTAAAAAGTTTGTTTGTTTGTTTTTTTTTGGTTTTTTTTTGTTTTTGTCAAACAATAGATTTGTTAGATTAGATGTTGGATTAGGGAGCTGACAGAGTTCGAACTTGCGCTATGGTGCAAGGGTAACACTCATCTCCACCACTATAAAAGGATACGGAATAGAGATAGAAATCATTTTACTTTCAGCATAAAAAATATTATTTATTACCTATCATGCACTAACCTGTATTAAAATTGAGTGAGCTATATAGATTACATGCATTAACATAAGCTATTAAAACATGAATTAAACAATTTCTCCCACCTAAGCATTGTGGGCGGCCGTGGCTCAGGGCCGGCCTGAGTACTTAGGGGTCCTGTGCAAAACTTAGATGAAGGCCCTTTATTTTTTCTTAATGTAGTATTTTCTTTATTATTTTTCAATTTCGTTATCAATAAAATCTGAATACTACAAGTTGGTGCACTTGAAATAAGTCTGTTTGAGTGGACAACTGTGCTTTCTTTCTTCAAAGGTCTCCACTTCGAACAGGTTGCATTCTTTTTTTTTTTTTTTTTGTATAAATTTATATGCCTTTTTAAAGTTTATAAATTTGTAAAAATTAAGCAAAGTAATGCCACAAGGACTCGAGCCCAACACCTGAGAGCAATTCCACTTTGCGCCAGCACCCATCTCATTTATCCATTCAAGTAAACAGTAATAGGCCAAAGTATCTCCACCCCTGAAACCAAATAGCCTAGTCAATTTTATTAAAATATTATTAATTTTTATTATAAAATAATAATTTAATTTTTAACAAATGCATCTCTGCTCCCCTCCCCTGTCTTTGCCTCAGAAGCTCCCCCACCGCTCCCCTCTAATGTGCAGAAGAAAGAAACCCATTAACAAGATGAAGGGATATGGGAGAACACAGTGGAAGGGATCTATCTATCTCTCTCTCTCTGAACCTTAGCCTTGAGGAGGGCGTCGAAGGCCCCCAAACCCCCATCCCCGCCACCCTTTGCTCCGCCTGCAAATTGGCCCTGAGAAGCTTTGCACTAAGATCTCTTTGCGACGCGTTGATCGTGCGGGAGGTTGATGGCCCGGCTGACGTCAGATGGCCCAGCATGTGGGTCTGTCGATTTTAGGCAGGTCTCTTGCCTGGCTTGGGTTGGGTGCCGGTCAAAATGCTAGGCTGGAGTGGATAGCCTGGGTGCTGGGGTGGTTTTTTAGTTGGGTGCTGGCCTATCAGTTCCCTGGTGGAACTGCTATGAGCGAAGAGACAAAAGGCCTCCACCGCTAGCGCTGGAACATTTATTAGTATCATTTTGCACTTATCTAGTACATGTAAAGAAATATTGGGGGCCCTTCCAAATCGGGGGCTTGTGCAATGACACCTTTTGCACACCCTCAGGGCTGGCTCTGCCACGAGGAAGAAGAGTTTCGAACTGGAGACGCATTAGAAACTTAACACCCTATCCAATAAGATATTATATCACATGCACATATTTTTAATTTGACAAACCCAAATTCACAACCCTTGCATGCATTAATAAATCCCACTTCAAAAGGCTTATTTGGTGAGGTTTTTGTGCTTGTTCTTAACTTTCAGCACCATTCCTTGTATTTATAAGGAATCAAAGTGGGGAAGGCTGAACAATTCAAATTAGGTTGGAAGTATTGACCTATTAACATTAAGGGGAGGGAGAAAATGATGACAGCTATAGAGATTAGTATTATTGCTAGAGAAAACATCAAACCCTCCTCTCCGACTCCCACTCGCCTGAAAACCTTCGAGCTTTCAATTTTGGATCAAATGATTCCACCCACATACATTCCACTCCTGCTTTTTTATCCCACAAGTGATCATCAGAGAGTCCAGTAGCTAAAGGAGTCACCATCCGCAACTCGAACTCGCTTCTACCCTTTTGCCGGAACAATCAAAGATAACGCCTTTATCGAATGCAACGATGATGGGGCCTGCTTTAACGAAGCTCGAGTGAGCTACCTACCCTCACACATCCTCAATGAACCCGATCACGAAGTAATGAAACAGTTTCTGCCCATTAACTTCGAGTCCTCAGAAGCAGGCAAGGGATGTGTGCTGCTTGTTCAAGGCAACTACTACGAGTGTGGTGGAATGGCTGTAGGGCTATGCCTTTCTCACAAGATAGCTGATGCAGCCGCATTAAGCACATTCATCAGAAGCTGGGCTGCCACTGGTTCTGGGATTGGTGATGAGTGAGTGGTGATTCCTCTTTACAATTCAGTGGCAATGGCCACACCAAAAGACATCTCAGTGGACCCACCAGCTGTTGAGATGATACCACACAAATCTGTGACAAAGAGGTATGTATTTCATGGCTCAAAGATTGCTGCCCAAAAAGCTAGGGTTGCTAATAATTTTGTTGAAAACCCTACGGAGGTTGAAGCTTTAGCTGCCCTGATTTGGAAATGAGCAAGGAAGGCCTCAAGGATTACTTTAGGGTTTTCATCCAGGCCATCAGCATTTTACCAAAACGTGAACATTAGAAACAGAGTGGTCCCTCCTGAGCCTAACGAGTCTGTTGGGACTTTGTTGGGTCGTTCTTGCAAGGACAGAAGAGGCTGCTGAGACAGAGTTGTTAGACGTAATTAACTAAACAAGATTAAACATGAATCACAATCTAATAAGAACCAACCAATATTGTCTATGAGATAACTTAAGAAGAATGGCATACCTGCAGAAGTTCCTGAACTAGTAGCCATGGCGCTGAACTTTCAGTGAACCTTCTTCTCTCTTGCAGAATATCAAGAACTCGACTTACAATAGGTTTAAGTCCCAATATGAGCGTGTTTTCTGTGAGAGAAGAGGCCACTATATATGTATATATATATACACACATAGTCTTTCCATACCAGAAAATGATTCCCTATTAAAATCCTTGTAGAAGACAAATACATGTTTTCCTTGTTCCATAAGAACTGATCTTAATGCTATACAAAACCTTTCTTAATTAAGGACTAACAATCCTCTTATCAATAAGACTTTTCTACCAAACTAAATACCTATAGCCGGTCCCTAAAACTTCTCTATCTCATACTCATTCCAACAAGAGTTGCATGGTTTGGTTGCTGAACTGAGGAAAGGGATTGAACAATTTACCAGTAAGGCCACCATTGAGTGACATTTCGGTAATTTCGGAGCTCAGATGGCGGCCATAGGGTTGTTAAGTAGGGATGACATGGATTTTTATGTGTGCACCAGTTGGTGTAGGTTTGAATTGTATGAGGCAGCAGGTTTTGGGTGGGGGAGGCCAATGTGGTGAACTCAGTAGCTAGGTTAAACTGTCTTTAATTTTTAAAATTATTATTATACAATAACTTTGTTTTTTTTTGAACAAGTGATATTATCTACACTAAAGGGAGGGGGTGGGCTTAGCTAACAAAGAGTTAGCAATAATGTGGTTCAAACTCGCATTTGGCGAGAATCAAACCTAAGACTTCTCACTTACAACAAGTGAAAAGGAATACCACTAAACCGTAGCACTAAGTGTCTATCATACAATAACTTAGATGTCCTTAATTGACCGCAACCTAATGAAAGAGAAATGAATGTAAATAGACTAGAAATACTTGATAGACTAAGCATTTCTATTGGTGCATTTTTCAAATTATTTGAATTTAAGGAACCCTTGAATTTAACAGTCGACATATTGTTTGAAATTTCAAATGTGCATTATTGTTTTAACAGTCTTCCTGCTTGATCAAGATCTTAGACCTCAATCCTAAAGCAGGAGCAAAAATATGGCTCAAGTGATGAACATTGAGATCACCAAGAAGGAAATCATAAAACCATCCTCTCCAACTCCCCACTACCTCAAAAGGTTCAAGCTTTCTCTTTTGGATCAGCTTGCTCCAGTAGCCTATGGTCCTCTGGTTCTTTTCTACCCCAACAATGTCAATGGGGTTGCGACGGAGGAAAGATCTCAGCAGCTGAAGAAATCACTCTCGGAAACCTTAACCTGCTTCTACCCTCTTGCCGGAAGAATCAAAGATAACATCTTTATTGATTGCAATGATGAGGGGGCTATTTACGTTGAAGCTCAAGTCAACTCCCTTCTCTCAACCTTCCTTCATCAACCCGATTTTGATTTTCTAAAATTGTTCCTTCCCATTGAGGTTGGATCCTCTGAAGCAGCAACTGGGCCTCTTTTACTTGTTAAAGCCAGTTTCTTTGAGTGTGGTGGATTGGCCATAGGCGTGTGCTTCTCACACAAGCTTGCTGATGCATCAACTCTTGGCCTTTTCGTCAAAGCTTGGGCTGCCACATCTCTTGGTATTGGTGACACTGTGGTACCGGACTTCAGCAGTGCAGCAATCCGATTCCCGCCTAGAGATTTCTCGGTGCAGAGGCCTGCCGTGGAGATGAAGATAGGAAAGTGTGTGACAAGGAGATTTGTTATTGATGGACCAAAGATGAGGGATCTTAAAGCTAAAGTCACTAGTGGAAGTGTTGAGAAACCGACAAGAGTTGAAGCTGTTACTAGCCTCATATGGAGTTGTGCAATGAATGCATCAAAATTAAGTTCAGGGGCTTCAAATGTGTCAATGGTGTCACAATCGGTGAACATACGCAAACGGATTGTGCCACCATTGCTGCAAACCTCAGTTGGGAATCTTGTGGGGTACTACGCTGTAAGGACGGACGAGAGTGGGATAGAGTTGAAGGAATTGGTTTCCCAAATGAGGAAGGCAATGATCGAGTTTAATGAAAACCATCCCAAGAGATTGAAAGGGGAAAACATGTTCGAAGTCATTTGCGAGTATTTTAAAGAGATTGGAAGCATTATGAGAAGAGATGACATAAACTTCTTCATCTGCACAAGTGTATGCAACTTTGGAATATATGAGATTGATTTCGGGTGGGGGAAGCCAATTTGGGCGACCATCCCTGGTGGTACACTCAAGAATGTTGCTACTTTGATGGACACCATAGAGCGTGATGGAGTAGATGCATGGATAAGTTTAAGTGAGGAAGACATGGCCATATTCGAACGTGACCCGGAACTTCTTGCATTTGCTTCTGTAAATCCAAGTGTATTTGAACCTGTAACAAGGAGCTCTTCTCTTTAATTTCTTAGGATATCGTTGGTGTTTGTTTCTGTTTTGTGTTTCTAAAATTGTTCGTGCATGTTTGGCTCATAATTAATATGGTACCATTTCTTGTGTTTCTTATTTCATATGAAGTTTGAATAAGATGCAGCTGTGTGTTGTGCAGTGTCATTTTAATTGCATACAGTTTCTTTTTACTCTGGCCTATTTTTTTGTGAAAGTTGAATGGTAATTAAAGGATAGTTTTATTTTATTTTATTTTATTTTTTATTTTTTAATTAGATTGATAATTATATTCTATTCTAATCTGCACACAAAGGTGGTTTTGGAAGGAAGCGAAATGTGCAATCGCACAGAACCCTAAATTTTAAGGGACCTCCAAAAACTATTTTAAGGAGGAGCCCTTTTATAAATTTCACATAGGGCCCTCAAAATCTCAGAGACAGCCCTATCTGCACATGGAGGAGGTTTCAAACTTGGGGGGCGTGCGGATGTGCCAGTTAAAAGGAGAGTTTGTAGGAATTCACATCACACGTTGTAATCTAACAAATCCAAATTCAAAACCTTTGCGTGCTTGTGCTTGTTTGGTGAGTTTTTGTGCTTGTGCTTAATTTTCCGACCATTCCTTGTTTTTATAAGGAATCAAAGTGGATAAGGCTGAACAATTCTTCAAATTGGGTTGCCTTTCTCACAAGATAGCTGATGCAGCCACGTTGAGAACATTCATCAGAAGCTGGGCTGCCAGTGCTTTTGGTGCTGATCAGAGAGTGGTGAATCCTTTGTTCAATTCAGTGCCAATGGCCCACCAAAAGACATATCAGTGGACCCACCAGCCGTACTACACAATTCTGTGACAAAGAGGTTTGTATTTCACGGCTCAAAGATTGCTAATAATTTTATTGAAAACCCTACAAAGGTGGAAGCTTTAGCTGCCCTGGTTTGGAAACGTGCAAGGAATGCCTCAAGGATTACTTTATGGTTTTCATCCAGGCCAGCAGCATTTTACCAGAACGTGAACATTAGAAACAGAGTTGTCCCTCCTGTGCCTAATGAGTCTGTTGGGAACTTTGTGGGGGGGGGGGGGGGAGGAAAGGGATTCAACAATTCAGCAGTAAGGCCAAAAGGGTTCTGTTGAGTGAGGATCGGAACCTCAGATGGTGGCCATAGGGTTGTTAAGTAGTGATGACATGGACTTTTATGTGTACACTTGGTTGGTGTAGGTTTGAATTGTAAGACGCTGCAGATTTTGGGCGGGGGAAGCCAATGTGGGTGAGCTCAGCAGTTCCCACATGCAATAACATGGTGATTTTGGTTGACGCAGAAGATGGTGATGGAAGAGTGTTGGGTGAGATTGACATTAGAAGACATGAAGTATTTGAGTGTGACCAAGAGCTGCTCTTATATGCTTCTTTCAAACCAAATGTCTGGGAAACTGGATAACGTCCAAACTTATCATGTATGGGAGAAAATGGGTTTTTAATCCTTATTTAAGTGAATTAATAATACCATGTAACTATATTACATTCACACACAAAATATCTCCTTAACCAGTTCCAAAGTCCCACTTATTTGCTACTTCTTTACTTTTACACAAGTCCTAGTACTAATTTATTACACATGAACAGGTGCAACCACCTTGATCAAATTTGTAAGTTGGGCTGCCATAGCCTGTGCGGATGGTGATCAATTGCGTCCTGAGTTCGATGCAGCATCTACATTTCCCACAGGAGACCTGCCCAGAATCCAATATGAAGATGCACCAAAATATGAGAGTGTCTCTGCCACTAAGAGATTTGTATTTGATGCCTCAAAAATTGCTGCCCTCAAAGCCATGGTTGCCCACAAAGTGCACAACCCTACATGCACTGAAGTTGTTAATGCACTCATTTTCAAATGTGCCATATCCACCTTAATTAAATCACGTACTGACACTGCTACTACTACTATTTCGTAAATGTCAAATGGGCCGGTGCCTTTTACAACTTATCTGCTCCAGATAGTGGCCCTCTGAGCGGGGCTAACACCTCCATTTCCCGAAAGCTGTGTAGCTAACATGACTTGGTTCTTCACTGCAGCATCCAACGATCACGAGGATAATGATCATGTCTTGGAGTTATATGACATTGTGGCCAAAATGAGGGAGGGGAAGAACCAATTCTTGGAGACGTATGCCAAAAGATCGAGGGCAGAAGATGTTGAATTTTGGCCAAGTGGCCATCACCTTTTGTATTAAACAAAAAAAAAGAAAAAAAAAGGGAGACATCGTGATGTTGTTTCTTACTTTGTGATGATGACAAATGATGATGTTTGAGAATTATTTTTTCTTTGGCCATGTGGGAAGTCACGGGGTGACTTGAAGGTTTTATTTAGCAGCAATTGCTGCTTGTGTGGTTAAGAGAAAAAAACAGAGAGCAGAAGAGAAAGGAAAGAGAGCTGCCGAGAGCAAGAGAGTTGCAGAGAGCCCAAACAGAAAAAGAAGCTGCTGCTTCATTTGGTTAGTAATCATTCACCAAAGTAGTTGTTGTTGTAATAGCTTTAAGCTATATGTATAGAGAAGAAATTATACATTATATTTCTTTCTCTATTTGTTTCTGTGATGTGTAAGAGCTATTTGGTGTATTGGGTTATTTGGGTTGTGAGATTGCCAACACTTTGTAAACTCCCATTTGGTTGATAGTGGATTATTGGGTGAGCTCCTACTGCTCCGAGGACGTACTCCAGTTACACTGACTGTTGAGGAACCTCGTTAAAATCTTGGTGTCTTTAATATTTTGTTCTTGCATTTTCATTTGATAAATTTCCTGTGGGTTAGCTTGAGTTGGTTCCATAAGGTTTGGTGCTATCCTAGCACAACAATTGGTATCAGAGCACTGGTTGCTCTTGGGTACTGTCTAGTTGCCAAAGATGTCAGATGGGCAAGATGAAAATCCTTTTGGAAGCAGCTCCGGGTTTGCAAGAACTACGGTGCAAAATGCAAAGTTCGAAGTGGAAAAGTTTGATAGCACAAACAACTTCGGGATGTGGCAATGTGAGGTCAAAGATGTGTTGGCTCAACAAGATCTACTTGCCGCGTTGGGAGAGAAACCGGAAACTATGTTGAAGCCGGAATGAGAAAAATTAAATTTGTGGGCTTGCTCTTCAATTCGGTTATGCCTTGCAAAAACTCAGAAGTATTTTTGTGATGCGGGAGACATTAGCAAGTGTGTTGTGGCAAAAATTGGAAGACAAGTATATGACGAAGAGTGCAGAGAACCGGCTACACTTGAAGAAAAAGCTCTACCGCTTCCAATACAAAGAAGGTACAAAAATGATTAGACACCTTGATGCTTTTAATAAGTTGATTGCCGACTTGTTAAATTTAGATGAGGATATTAAGGATGAAGATAAGGCCTTAATATTGTTGAATTCCTTACCGGACTCTTATGAGCATTTTGTTACCACTATTATGCATGGTACAGAAACTGTGAAATTTGAAGATGTGTCAAATGCCTTGATGAATTATGAAATGAGGCATAGAGATAAAAATCATGATAGTACCTCTGAAGCTTTATTTGTTAGAGGTAGATCATCGGAGATGAGGTCATCTTCTAGCAGGAAAAAATCACAGTCTCGACCTAGAGGAAACTCTAAAGGTAGAAAACCTTTGGAAAGGGATGAATGTGCCTTTTGTCGTAATAAGGGCCATTGGAAGAAAGATTGTCCTAAATTGAAGACCAAAGGCAAAGAAAGTTCTGAAGCTAATGTTGCTGAGGTTGAAACAGATTTTTCTGATTTTGCTTTTAACCACTTCCTCATCTTTTGATTGTGCTACTAAATGGGGTGTTGGATACGGGTTGTACTCATCATATGACTCCTCACAAGGATTGGTTTTCAAGCTTGAAAGAGTTTGATGGTGGCGTTGTGTTCATGGGAGATGACAATCCTTGCACAACAAAAGGGATTGGTACAGTTCGTTTGAAGTTGCATGATGGCATGGTTAAAGAGTTGACAGGTGTTCGGTATGTACGAATTTGAAGAAAAATCTTATTTCTTTGGGGTACTTTGGAATCCAAGGGTTTCAGTTTTCATTCAGATGGACAGACATTGAAAGTTACTTATGGTGCACTTGTTGTGATGAAAGCTCCTAGATGTGGCCATTTGTATTTATTGCAGGGAAGCACTGTGACAGGTGAAGCATTTGTAGTCTCTGAAAATATGGGCACATCTGATTCAGATACTACTAGACTGTGGCATATGAGATTAGGCCATGCCGGTGAGAAAGCTCTACAAGGGCTTGTGAAACAAGGTCTTCTAAAAGGTGCCACGACTTGTAAGCTTGATTTCTGCTGCGCGAGCATTGTGTCTTGGGGGAAGCAAACTAGAGTGAAGTTTGGTACTGCTGCTGTACATCAGACGAAGGGCATTCTTGATTATGTGCATTCGGATGTTTGGGGTCCTACAAAGACTCCCTCTTTGAGTGGTAGACATTGGTTCGTGACCTTTGTTGATGATTATTCAAGAAGGTCTTGGGTCTACACTATGAAGCACAAGAGTGAGGTGTTGAGCATTTTCTTGAGTTGGAAGAAAATGGTTGAGAACCAGACTGGGAGAAAGATTAAGATTTTGAGATCGGATAATGGTGGTGAATACACATCCGACCTTTCTTTAAAGTTTGCAAAGAAGAAGGAATTGTGAGACATTTTAGTGTTCGGGGAACTCCACAACAAAATGGAGTTGCATAAGATTGAATCGAAACCTTGCTTGAGAAGGTTAGATGTATGTTTGTCTCAGTCGGGTTTAAGCAAGTCATTTTGGGCAGAGGCAGTTAATTATGCATGTCACATCATCAACCGGTTACCCTCAGCTGCTGTTCAGGGTAAGACACCAATGGAGGTATGGACTGGAAAACCTTCTTCTGATTATGACTATATCCGTATTTTTGGTTCACCTGCTTATTTTCATGTGACTGAAAATAAACTTGATCCTAGAGCCAAAAAGGCTATCTTTCTTGGTTTTAGTAGTGGTGTCAAAGGTTACAGGTTGTGGTGCTCAGAGATGAAAAAAATTGTAATTAGTAGAGATGTGACATGTGACGAAGAAAGTATGTACAAAGTCTCTGAGAAGAATGTGAAAGATGTCCAACAGGTGGAGCTTGAGAAAGTTGCCTCTGGTACTTCAAATCCTTTTTCCGCTGATGTCGAAGCCACTACAAGTGAAGAAGTGGGAGACCATGAGGATGTTGAAGAAGTTGAACTTGAAGATTCTATTCAAGTTGAAGAGCAAGTTTCACCTCAAGAGTCTAGTTTGCCTTGCCAAAACAGAGGAAAGAGACAAATTACCAAGCCAGCTCGGTATAGTGACTATGTTTCTTTTGCTCTTCCTATTATCACTGATGATATTCCATCTAATTTCGAGGAAGCCATTGAGAGTGAGGAGAAGAAGAGGTGGTGCAATGCCATGGGTGATGAGATGAATTCTCTCTTGAAGAACAAGACTTGGGAGTTAGCTAAATTGCCTAAGGGCAAGAAAGCTATCGGTTGCAAATGGGTGTATGCCAAGAAGGAAGATGCTGATGAGAAAAGCAATGTGAGATTTAAAGCAAGATTAGTTGCTAAAGGGTATGCACAAAAGGAGGGCATTGACTACAATGAAATATTTTCTCCAGTTGTGAAGCACTCCTCAATTCGTATTATGTTAGCTCTTGTTGCACAATATGATCTTGAGCTTGTGCAACTTGATGTGAAGACGGATTTCCTACATGGTGATTTGAATGAAGAGAGATTTATATGTGTCAACCGGATGGGTATATAGTGAAAGGGAAGGAAAAATTTTGTTTTGCAAATTGAAGAAATCACTTTATGGCTTGAAGCAATCTCCAAGGCAATGGTATTTGAGGTTTTGATAAATTTATGAGAGGCCAAAATTATTCTAGAAGTCAATATGATCATTGTGTGTACTTCAAGAAGTTGCAAGATGAGTCTTTCATTTATTTGTTGATATATGTTGATGATATGTTGATTGCCTCAAAAAATGTTGAAAGAGATTGAAAAATTGAAGAAGCAAATGAAGAATGAGTTTGAGATGAAGGATCTTGGTGAAGCGAAGAAGATCCTTGGCATGGAGATCACTAGAGATAGAGAGAAGGGTTTGGTTAGTTTGAATCAAAGACAATACCTTGAGAAGTTGATTCGGAAGTTTGGAGTTCATGATTCAACTAAACCGGTTAGTACCCCTTTGGCTTCTCATTTTAAATTGAGTTCTCTACAATGTCCTAAAAATGATAAAGAGAAGCTGCAAATGAAAAATATACCATATGCAAATTTGGTTGGTAGTTTGATGTATGCAATGGTATGTTCTAGACCGGATATTGCTCATGCAGTTGGCATGGTGAGTCGATATATGCATAATCCAGGTAAAGAGCACTGGCAAGCAGCTAAGTGGATATTGAGATATCTCCATGGTACTCGAGATGTTGGTTTATGTTTTGAGAGAGATGACTCTGGTATTGGTCATTTTGTAGTTGGTTATGTTGATTCAGATTATGCAGGTGATCTGGATGGAAGGAAGTCTACTACAGGCTATGTGTTTACTATGGCTAAAGGGCCAGTTTGTTGGAGGTCCATTTTGCAGTCGTCTGTTGCTTTGTCTACTACAGAGGCTGAATATATGGCAGTTGCTGAAGCTATAAAGGAGGCCATTTGGATACATGGGCTGATTAGAGATTTGGGGGTTGATCAGAAGCAGGTGGAGGTACATTGTGATAGTCAGAGTGCCATTTATTTGGCTAAGTATCAGGTTCATCATGCGAGAACCAAGCACAGAGATGTGCGTTATCACTTTGTTCATGAAATTGTTGGTGAAGGGGAAATCATTCTCCAGAAGATTCCAACTAAAGACAACCCCGCTGATATGTTGACTAAGGTTGTTGGTGTAGCCAAGTTTGTTCACTGTTTGAACTTGGCTCACATTATGCCTATATAAAGAAGGCGTTGAGCAGTAGGAGTTTTGGAGCATTTGGCTCGGCATGAGTTGTTCTCTTGCTAGTGTTCGGGAGTGATTTTTTGGGTCAATTGTGTTGGTTGGCTTATCATGGCGTTTTCGGAACTTGGCCAAGGTGGAGATTGTTGAATTTTGGCCAAGTGGCCATCACCTTTTGTATTAAACAAATAAAAAGAAAAAAAAGGGAGACATCATGATGTTGTTTCTTACTTTGTGATGATGACAAATGATGATGTTTGAGAATTATTTTTTCTTTGGCCATGTGGGAAGTCACGGGGTGACTTGAAGGTTTTATTTAGCAGCAATTGCTGCTTGTGTGGTTAAGAGAAAAAAACAGAGAGCAGAAGAGAAAGGAAAGAGAGCTGCCGAGAGCAAGAGAGTTGCAGAGAGCCCAAACAGAAAAAGAAGCTGCTGCTTCATTTGGTTAGTAATCATTCACCAAAGTAGTTGTTGTTGTAATAGCTTTAAGCTATATGTATAGAGAAGAAATTATACATTATATTTCTTTCTCTATTTGTTTCTGTGATGTGTGAGAGCTATTGGGTGTATTGGGTTATTTGGGTTGTGAGATTGCCAACACTTTGTAAACTCCCATTTGGTTGATAGTGGATTATTGGGTGAGCTCCTACTGCTCCGAGGACGTACTCCAGTTACACTGACTGTTGAGGAACCTCGTTAAAATCTTGGTGTCTTTAATATTTTGTTCTTGCATTTTCATTTGATAAATTTCCTGTGGGTTAGCTTGAGTTGGTTCCATAAGGTTTGGTGCTATCCTAGCACAACAGAAGAATGGCCAGCACTCATGATTGAGTGGCTACAACAATTAGGGGAACTGTATAACAAAATAGACATCACCAGTGATGACGTTGCACATATATTTTCAGTTCTTTTGATATGAATTGTTAATTTTATTGGATCTGATCAGGAAACACGAGCACTAATAAGATAATCAAACTGCAAAGGAGATAGTTACTCATTCAACCTACAGACGTGAAAGTGAATTTTTCTTTACATTACCACCAATTGGGGACTTAAGCAACGAGATGAACTCTCCGTCAAGTTCAAACTTGGCCATGTCTTCCTCCATCAAGCTAAAATATGACTCGATTCCATCACCATTTTTGGTGTCCATGAAAACTATCTGATTAGAGATGCCCGTGGCAGCCTGGCTCACCCATGCAGGCTTCCCCCAACCAAAATCAGCCTCATACATAGGAAACCTACACAAACTCGAAAAGGATAACGTCACGAGCTCTCCTATTACGGCCCTCTCCATTCTTTTCCTCATGAAATCCAAATGTTCTTGATATCCCTCTTGAAATCTCCTAATGTAACTATTGTCAATTTTCTCAATTTCCTCCATTACCTGCCTCACAAGGCGGTGGCGCTCCTCCCCATTAACCGACGTTGGAGTTGCAGTGGCAGCCCTGTAATAATTCCCAAAAGCATATTGAGACACTGGTGGATCAAATCTTGGCCGCAGATCCATAATGCAAACAGCTGTGTACAAAGTTTGCGTAGTTTCAGGTGGTTCTCTAGGCCTTGATGACAGAAAGATGTTCCATAAGAAAGCTGATAAGGCCTCAACTCTTGAAGGGCGTTTATGAGTTTTTGAAAACTCCATGCTTTCTTGGTATCTCGATCTTAAAGCCTCAACCTTTGCCCCATCAAACACAAACCTCTTGGTTATGATTGCTTTCCTGTTGGTGATTATAGAAACCCCTAAATACCCTTCCATATTTCTTGGTGGAAAAACTGCGGCTGCAGAAAAATCTGGAGCAACGAAAATATTGCTACAATTCTTAGCAATAGCTGCCCAATTGTTGACGAATATAAAATATGACAACGCATCAGCGATCCTGTGCGACATACCAACGCCAATTGCAAATCCTCCACAATCAAACATGCTGAGTTGAACACCGAGGGGTATTTCAGTAGCTTCAGATGTCTTGAAGGGCAAGAATTTGTTCAGGTCAGACTCAGAGAGAAGAGGGTTGGCGATCACATCGGAAAGGAGTTGGGATTTAACCTTGGCTTCAAAGAATGGGACGCCTTGGTCACTGCAGTGAACAACGAGATTGTGTTTGACTCGGCCGGCTAACGGGTAGTAATGGGTTAAGACTTTGGACAAAGAAGTCTTGAGGATGTTTGATATTTGAGTGACGGTTTTGGTGCCGTCGCCGTCGGAGCTGTAAAAGTAGATAAATTGCATGTATGCATGGGGAGCTAATTGATCGAGAAACGAGAGCTGGTGATGGTGGAGACGGTTTGGGGTTGGAGAAGATGGTTTGATGATCTCTTTGGAGATTACTTCAACTTCAATCTCCATTCTCATTTATTTCTCACCAACTGACAATTGAATTGACATTAGAAATGTATGGCAATATATCTCCTGCATTTTATGATCCTATAACAACATCTGAGTTTTATTCCGTTATTTCATTAAGTGACGTTGATTGTATGAATCTAGAATGTCATTGTTTTGTACAATGTATTCCGCTAACTTCAAATATTTCATATCTTTTCTTAAAAATCTTTTTTCAAATATTCCTTTACTATTTTTCCTCCGAACTTTCATCTCATAATCGTATTTAACAGATCATTTTATGATCCTATACATATGAATTATTGGGAAAAATGTAGCTGGACCACTTTCTCGATAACCCAACTTAATCTTTTGCCTAAAAGACAAGAATCCCAAAAGCTATTGCGTCCATATGAATTATTAGAGAAACTGTAGCTGGACCACTTTCTTGATAACCCCAACTTAATATTTGCCTAAAAGACAAGAATCCCAAAAGCCATTGGGTGAATTATTGGGGAAACTGGCTCAATATCGGAAAGAGATCCTTTCCGGATCTTTTTAATTATGATCATCGAATTAAGTGATTTGGACTTTTGAAATTTGATTCAACGGCTAAAAACAAGGGCCTCCTTTAATAGTTATAATAACTTTAGCTGTTGGATCAAATTTTAAGGGTCTGGTGGCCTTGGTGAAAGAGATCCGGAGATGATCTCTTTCCCTCAACATCAATCATGTGTTCTGGTGAGCAGTGGCGAAGTCAGGAATTATCGAGGGGAGGGGCGATATTTAGAAGGTTAAAAGGTCCCAATAAAAACTTAAGTAAAAAGAAAGTGTTCTTTACAATAAGAGGCACAAGTAACACACAACAAAACCAAAACAAATCATTTTTTGCATTTGACTGCCATAGAAAACCAGAACTGTCATTCTCAATAGGCTTCACTGACTAGAGAGTATTGACCAAATGGAGAAAGGCATTCCAGCTAAAAGATAGTTTTGGTTTGCTACTAACCAAGACTTGAATAACAAACACATGAATACACTTGAATAATAAACACATGAAACACAATGAACCATACTTGCATCATTCGACGCTAACTTAAGTTAGTGACTTATTCCAAAAGGGTATGGGCGTCTCCATCCCTTAAGATGTCATCTTCAAGACCCTCGAATGTTAACAGTTTTCCTGAAATGTGAGCAGAAATTAGAAAATCATCTCCATATGACCTTTTCTAAAGATTGAAAAGATTTTCTATGTTTCAAATAATCAATCGTCAAGGATAACTCTGCAAAATGCATTCTCTATCAACCAAGAGCTGAATGAGTTTCATAGATGTATGAGGCCTTGAGATAAATAAAACCAACTGTTTGATACCAAGCTTGAGTCTCAATCACCAATTATAACGTTAAATGAAAAAAAATACGTTTCATATGTAAGTCAGTGAAGCAACAAAACCAAAACTATATTTCTTATCTTTCGTATCTGCCATAGAAAACCAGAACTATCAACTAGTGGGTATTGACCAAATCGCTTCATTCTCTTAGACACATTTGGTTCTTATTCTTCAACAGATTCAATTCCATAAATTTAACCAAAATAAAAACAAGAACAATATTTGAACCTAGGAACAAATCCAATTCAACAGAAGATTTGGAATTAGAACATAACATAGTTCAAGATTTAAGTGTGAACACGGATTATTCCTGAAACGAAAGAGACAAGAACAACGTGCACAAACAAATATTTGTATTTGATGATTTTTGGGTTACAATCTCTCTCTATTTTGATCCTCTGATTCGATCTCCGTAAGGTGTTGATTTGTGGATGTTTCGTTGATCCAAGGGCCGTTGATGCTTGATCTTGGATGAACTGTTGGAAGTTTCTTCAAAGGGCCGTGGGCTTGATCTTTGAAGGTGGATTTGAGCGGATCTTCAAGGAGCCGTTGGGGCTTGATCTTGAAGAACAGTGATGAACGAATCTTCAAGGGGTTTTGGGCTTGATCTTGAAGAACAGTGATGAACGGATCTTCAAGGGCTTTTGGGCTTAATCTTGAAGAACGGTTGGATGTGTGTGGATTTGTCGATGTTTGTTGATCCAAAGGGCCGTTGGGGCTTGATCTTGGATGAACGGATGATGAACGATGGTGCTTTCTTCAAGGGCCTTCGGGGCTTGATCTTGAATTGGTGGAAGTTCTTCAAGGGCCGTTGGGGCTTGATCTTGAATTGGTGGATGATTGTTGATCCAAATGGCCGTTGGGGCTTGATCTTAGGATGAACGATGAACGATGAACGAAGAACGCTTTCTTGATTCTTCGGGAACCTGGATGCTTGAGAGCTTCGGAGTTTCAGAGCTTCAGGGCTTCCAGGTGTAATATGAATTCCCTTCCAAATGAATGAAATTGGGCTTGTATTTATAGAATTTTCCAAGGCCTAATTTTGAATATAATATTCCAGATGAAATAAGTCGTTTTTGCCAGGTGTTGACACGTGTCCTATTTGATGACTTTTCCAAATCATTTCAATTTTCGTTGAGTCACACGCTACGTGTAAAATTTATGTAATACATGAGCGTTGACACTTTGATTTATCGGTCAACATTTATTTACTGAAATTTCGATGTCTACAAATGCCCCCACTTCAAGGCGCGTCGTATACATGTGCTTGTCACGTGTAGGAGATGCGTTTTGAAGTCCCTTAATGTAGATGTCGATCCAAGGGTCGTCGAGGCTTGATCTTGAATTGGGCTAGAGATTTCTTCAAGGGCCATTGAGGCTTGATCTTGAATTGGGCTTGAGATTTCTTCAAGGGCCGTCGAGGCTTGATCTTGAAGGTTGAAATTGGACCACAAGGAGCTTTATGTGGTAGATGATCCTTGGCTTTGGTAGTGGATGAATCGGCACGTATTTGTTTTTGCGCTTTGTTGACTTTCCACAGCTTTGATCTTGAACTGGGTTGGAGGATTTTCTGGATTCCTCCAATTGTTGATTTTCCACAGCTTATTCTTGAACTAGGTTTTGATTCAAGAGTGATAGACACTTGATCTTGAATCGGACTTGTGATTTCTTCCAGGGCCGTCGATGCTTGATTTTGAATTTGGCTGGAAGCTTCTTCAAGGGCCGTTGATGCTTGATTCTTGAAGGTTGACTCGAACATATGGCAAGCAGGCACGCGGTGAAGGTGACGACTTGTTGCTTTGTTCAATCTTTCTAATTCACACCTGAGCAGTTTGGTCAACGGTATGATCTTCAAGATTGATTGGTTCTTCTTCCAGTTGGTGACTTGATCTTTAAGGATTTGATTCAAGGGTGGTGAATCGGCACGTGCAGCTCACAACGCCTAGCAAGTCGACCCAAGAATTTGAAGGTCAAAACGAGTCCACCGTCCATAGTGATTGCACCCTGATGATATGAGATACTTTTGATTTTAACGAAGTAGCGGATGAATCAGCACGTGCTTGGTTGCACTTGTCTCCACATGCTTCAATGTATTATTTTCCCTTGCTTTATCTGTTCCTCAGGCATATGTGGCATCTTCTCGAGTTTTTCATCTCAGACTCTTTCTGCTGAGTTGACTGTGCATGCTGCATTCTTCTCTGCTTGTTTCTTCAGGCAGATGTGGCAGCTTCTCGAGTTCTTCAGCTCGGACTCCTTCTGCTGAGTTGATTGTGCAGACCGCATTCTTCTCTGCTTGTTCCTTCTGCACGTTGTCTCCACATGCTGCAAGGTATCATTTTCACTTGCCTTATCTATTCTTCAGGCAGATGTGGTAGCTTCTTTGGAAGTACAACAGCAGTGAGAGACGAGTACTCGAGAGCAGTGCTAGGTAGGCAATCAGGGAAGGGTTCCAAGCAGTCGATTCCTTACCCGAGTTTGAGTGGAAGTTCCGGCATATTGTTTTCTTTATCCTTGTCTTTGTAGGTAAGAACAAGGACAAAGGAAAGGACAGGGAGAACACATGATATGAGATACTCTTGCTTTCTACCCTGGTGATATGAGATACTTTTGCTTTGGAGTCATTGGCTTGCAGAGGTACCCCAAGGAATAAGGAACACTGAATGACTCGAGAGGCTTCGTTGGGAAAACATCTTTGGAGATGAAGAAAAACTCTGTGTGTCTGCCTTGCTATGGAAGGTGAAGGTGGACAGTTATAGGAGGTCCCTTAATACCTGTAGAGGTACTATTCTTTCACTCGTGTCGGCAACTAACGCGTGATTGAACAGTAAACTTCACGTGCTTTCTCCTTCACCGAAAATCTTCGACAAATTGCCCGTGATTTGCGCAAAGTTGAGTGTGCATATGACAGGTGATGACGCGGCTGAAAAAGACTGGCGCCTCTTCGATATCTGGGATTGGCGCTTCGACAAATTACCCGTGATTTCCGCAAAGCTGAGTTTGCGTGTGACGGGTGCCGACACGTCTGGAAAAGCAAGATGCTTCTCCGATTTCTGAGCTTGCCTCTTCGATTTTTGAATGGCCTCTTCGAATTCTGAGCTCGCCTCTTCGATCTCTGAAATCCCGTCGAGTGCTGATTTTTTTAGAGGCATGCAGTTCGTTTCAAAGCACACTTAAATTTTCGCTTGTGAAAACTCCCCTCTTGTACTTCTAAGATCTTGATTTGTCCGATCTCTTATTCCTTCAACACTTTGAAAATGTCTGGACCCTCCGATCGTCGTTTTGATTTGAACCTTGGTGAAGAGGTAGTCCCGTCTTCTCCAGATAACATATGGCGCCCATCCTTCATATCCCCTACTGGTCCTCTTACTGTTGGGGATTCGGTGATGAAGAATGATATGACCGCTGCGGTGGTGGCTCGGAACCTTGTCACTCCCAAAGATAACAGACTACTTTCCAGGCGGTCTGATGAATTGGTTGTTAAGGAGTCCCTGGCTCTTAGTGTGCAGTGTGAGGGTTCTGTGTCCAACATGGCCCAACGCCTATTTGCTCGAACCCGTCAAGTTGAATCGTTGGCGGCTGAAGTGATGAGTCTCAAACAGGAGATCAGAGGGCTCAAGCATGAGAATAAACAGTTGCACAAGCTTGCACACAACTATGCCACAAACATGAAGAGGAAAATTGACCAGATGCAGGAATCTGATGGTCAGATTTTACTTGATCATCGGAGGTTTGTGGGTTTGTTCCAGCAGCATTTACCTTCGTCTTCTGGGGCTGTACCGACTGCTGAGGCTTCAAACAGCCAACCTCCGACGCCTTCTCTTCCTGGAGCTCTGCCGAGTTGTGAGGCGCCACCTGATCGTCCTTCAATATCCCCTTTTGTAAATTTGATTTGATGTGATTTTTTTTTTTATGTATAATGCAAATTTATGTAAAATTTCCAGAAAAAATAAATAAAATGGACCTTCTATTTCTCTCTATGCATTTGTTTTTTTTTTTGTTTTGTTTTTTTTTCTTTTTCTTTTGGTGCTGGATGCACCAAGTTCCATCATTATTATTATTATTATTATTATTATTATTATTATTATAATTATTTTTTTATTTTTTAATTTTTTACAATTTTTTTTTCTTTCTGCACATGGTGCCCATGCACCACCAGAAACTTTTAATCTGCCATGGGGCTGTACCCCATTTTTGATCCACCATTCCTCTTTTTTTCACGTGGTGCCAGATGCACCACCACTTTTTTTTTTTTTTTTAATTGTATTTCTTTCTGTATAAATTAGGATGCTTGGCGGAGGGATTTGTAGGGAACGGAGCAAGGAGGCCGAGAAGATGGTACTTCGAGCTTCACGACCGGCTAGTCGTTTGACGGCGGTCGTTGAAGTTCTTTGCTATCATGGTGGTCATAGTGACGAGCTCGAGGGAGGCCAGGCGCTGCGGAGGAGCATGGTGGATGCGCAGCTACTGTGATGATGTGCAACCCTTCGGGAATGTGGCGGAGGTGTAGAAACTTGGGGTGTCGAGCGCCAGCATGACATGGCATCAAATGACGACGCGTCGTTTATCCGTGAGAAGCACACAGAGGGCACCAAGGCCATGCTTGATTACCCCTCTGAGTTTCAGTAGTTGCTGCAGTGTTATGAAGAAGGAGGATGCAAAGCTATTGGCGACTGAGACCAACGACTCATGGTGCCGGCCCAGGAGCTTGTGCTGCTGCTGTGGAGGAAGACTGAGCTTTGCGTGCTGCAAGGGAGGAGTCTTGGTGCTGGAGCTTGACGTCCTGGAGAAGCGTGGTTGATTCGAACATCCAGCTCAACTCAGAAAACCGACGGCGGGAGGTAAAAACGAAGGTGAAGATGCTGTGGAGGATCTTCAACAACCATGTAGCGTTTGGCCTTGATGATGAAGATGGAGAAGGATCAGGGTGACCTTGATGTCAGATCCAGCTAGGACCCGGAGCACAGTCGGGTTGGGGTCAAGCTTGAAGCCGTTCGTGACAGGCATGCTGCCGGTTGCAGCGTTTGTGGTTCCGGCTGCACACGATCCATGTTGCAAGCGTCTTGGTGCTCTATGAAACTCTCAACCCTAGAGAAAACACGGCCGCAGTCGCAAGAATGTCCTCTGGTGCCGCAGGTTTTGAGATGTGCCTTGTAATCTGATTGAACTGCATACCCTTTTGAGCACTTATCACAAACCCACTGTTTGTGGTTGCTGGCTTTCTCCTGAAATGCTTTTTGATGCCGACGAGATCGCCGAGGGCGTGGCAGGGATCATGGTGCAGGCAGCTTGGTTCCGGGCACACGAACACCCGCTTCTTCACGACCGGAGTCTCGCTTCAGCAGCTTCCATGGCACCTTGTGCCGCCGCCGGCGCATCTGTAGGTTCTGGTCTATCTGAAACCCTTGGTTGTAGATCTCGCAAATGTAACGATCCGATTCCAGTAAGGTTTTCGGTGAAAGTGACACCACCTCCGCATCTGGATCTGGAGTGCCTGCAGGTATAATCTTTGACACATGGGGATAAAGGTCTTTATAAGAGTTTCTGATCTTCCACCATTTTATATATCTCATTAGCCCGATCCTTGATGGTTGCAACAAGGCCCAACCTATCAGACATGGTAGCAATGGTTTTGAAGGCCAGTATCAAGCCCCGATCCGGATTAGACCCACGGTTCTGCCACCGACCCAATGACGAAGACAAGAACTCACCAGAAGCCCCATTAGGCTTGGCTATGACAGTGGACAGCCCGCCATCGGCCAACAAGGGGTTGGTAGGGCCGTCAACACGGACCGGGTCGTTATCGCCCGACTCGTTGGCGAAGGTACGCCACTTCGAGGTCTCGTCGATGGAATGGGTTTCCAGCACTAGGCCACACTCGGAGCATACGGTGTCGCCTGTCGAGTGGTCAGACACAACCTCCGTCTGGCGCTTGCAGTCGGGGCAATACGCATCAGACATTTCTAGGTATAATACACAGTAATGTTATGGAAAAATGGTGTTTGGGAGGTGAGAAAATTGGGAGGATGAGAGATTCTCTCCTTTGGCGTTATTGTTTGTTTCTCTCCCTTCCGTTTGTGTTGGGGTGAGCTGAGAGAAAGACAGATGTTGAAATGGAGGAGGAAGCGAAGACGGCGTTTAGCAGAAACAGAATTGTGGTTGCTGTTGGCGGTGGAGCGATCTCTGAGCAAGTCCTGGAGGTCCTCGTAATAAGACATCTTAGCAGAACGAGCACCGACTCTAACTTGGTGGCGAGCCTTCTTGAACTCCTTGAGCGAGTTCCGCCACTTGTCCGTACACATGGTGGGCGATCGGTCGAAGCCCTTTTCCCTCATCCGCGCCGAGATCTGGTCCCACAGGTGCCTTTGGACTTTGCCGTGTTGAAAAGCCCGTCTTCCTCTCTCCTAAACCCTATCAAGCTCCGGGTCTTGGTCCATGGAGAAGTTGTCGGTTGCTGTTTGGAGTTTGACAAGCTGCCTCACAAATTCAGGCCCAATAAAAGGATTTGTCCTGATTGCTGCACCGACTGGATTTAGGACTGATTTCATCCATTTTGGCTTGGGGACGACATTTAAAATCGAGAGATACCCCACTTTGATATATATATATATATATATATATTTATGTTTTTTTTTTTTTTTTTTTTTTTTTGGTAAATACATAAAACATGTATCTCTCTTTTGTTCTTTTTTTTTTGTAAATAAAACATGTATCTCTCTTTTTTTTTTTTTTTGTACAAAGAAATTGTAACAGCATCAAAACTTTTAATTAAATCTTTATTCCTTATTTTAGTGTGACTGAACTCGAATTTTGAATATTCGAGCTGCCTACGTACCTCTCAAAAGAAGAGATCAAGTCGTAACGTAGTTCAAATGAGCGATGAATTTAACAATGGTTTTGATGATGATTTTGCCGTACACAGTTTATGCTCTTGTGGGCCAGGAGCTTAGTGCCATGCAGTTTAGGCTCGTGCAGGCGAGGAGCATTGGTGTTGCTTTTTATGCTCGTGCAGACCAGGAGCGTTGTGCCATGCAGTTTAGGCTCGTGCAGGCGAGGAGCCTTGGTTCGTGCAGTTTAGGCTCGTGCGAACAAGGAGCTTTGGTTCGTGCAGTTTAGGCTTGTGCGAACAAGGAGCATTGGTGAATTTGTCAAGCAATTTTGGAGAGGCGTTCCTCACAATCTTCATAGCAAGGAGCCTTGACCGAGTGATTGAAGAAGTCTTCGGGTAAGAAATCACGCATTGTGATGGGGATGGACGATCTATATGTCGAAATTTCATCATCTTCAACACGTTCATGTTGCTTTGAAGGTTGACAAGAGCTGCTTTGCCCCCTTTCCGATTGGCGGACTTGTGGATGAGACGTATGCTTCTTGTGCAATTTCTTAGGAGCGACTTGAGTCCATCCTTCAACTTTGCTTGTCTTGGAGGATGCCCCCAGCGGTTGAGGTGAAAACTTTGAGTCGGAAGAGCCAGAAGTGAAGGTGGTATAGTTTGACTTCACCACATCGTCAAGATCTAGCTCGATGATTCCTTTCTGAGCCAGCTTCATGATGAGATCTTTCAGCACGAAACATTTTTCTGTCGGATGACTGATGAAGCGGTGGAATTTACAGTACCTTGGACTGTCAGTGCGATTCATCTCTTCTGGCCGTTTGCATTCAGGCAAACTGATCACCTTCTTGTCCAACAGGTCATCTAACATGGCAACCACATCAGAGTCGGGGAATGGATAAGTCTTCTCCTTAAGCTCCTTCAAAGTGCGTCTACGCATCTCTTGATCACGAAAAGCTTCGGTTTGAATCGCCTTGCCTCGTGTGGATATTTGACGGGAGATATGTTGACCGTCATCGCTTCCTTGGTGGGTTTCCATGCAGCATTTTCCACCTTTGTCCCAAGAACTTTGTCGTTCTTGTAGTCGGCAATCGGTTCTTTCTTCCCATGATGGGCGATGCTCAACTCCATGTCATGGGCGCGAGTGGCCAATTCCTCGAAGGTCCGCGGTTTAATGCCTTGAATGATGTATTGCAAACCCCATTGCATGCCTTGGATGCACATCTCGATTGAAGAGGTTTCCGAGAGCCTGTCTTTACAGTCGAGGCTTAGAGTGCGCCATCTGTTGATGTAGTCAATGACTGGCTCGTCCTTCCACTGCTTTATGCTCGTTAGCTCTAGCATGCTCACAGTGCGGCGGGTGCTGTAGAAGCGGTTGAGGAATTCCCGCTCTAATTGTTCCCAGTTGTTGATGGACTCAGGCTCTAGGTCCGTGTACCACTCAAAGGCGTTTCCTTTCAGCGAGCGCACAAACTGCTTGGCAAGGTAGTCCCATTCGGTTCCTGCGTTGTTGCAAGTTTCAACAAAGTGGGCAACGTGCTGTTTCGGGTTTCCCTTTCCATCGAATTGCATGAACTTTGACGGTTGATAACCCCTCGGCATCCTTAAGGCATCAATTTTCTTTGAATACGCTTTCAAGTACAACCCGGAGGTATTTGAGCTCCCTTCGTATTGTGCCTTGACGGTGCTGGCGATCATCTCCTGCAGTTGCTGGATAGAAAGAGATCCCATGAGTGCCGCTGCTTGGTCTGGCTCTGGCTTCCCATCGATTTTCTTCACCGGGGGTTCTTCGTCTCCGCCAGCTCCTCCCTTTAGTGGATCATCCTCTGGGTCGGGTTTATCGCCGTCCTGCGCCTCCAGTCGGTTGACTAGTGCTGCAATTTGCAAGTCTTTTTCTTCCACAGTTCGGGTTAGCCTTACGATTGCTTCATTCATTTGAGCCAGCTGCTCATCGATTGAAGTTGCTCCAATGGTCATGACTTGCATGGCTGAACTGTCGCTTGAATCGGCATCGGAGAGCATGGATTCAGAGTATTTCCTTGGGTTTCCCTCCCTTGGTGCCCTTAGTGAGGCTAAGGTGATCAAAGGCTCGTGCCTTGGGTGCTCTTGTTCCCTTGGCAGAGTTGATGCAGAGGTGAAAGAGGTGGCAGAAGTAGCTCTTGCCATGCTTCGAGTCGTGATGCCCAAAGTGACACCAGTTGCGGGAGCAGTTTGAGCCTTCCTTGATGCCATTAATTTTGGAAGTCCGCTTGAATTTCTTGAACGGAGAAAGAGATGAGAGGTAGAGATTGTCCCACTGGGCGTGCCAATTTGTGAACACGGATTATTCCTGAAACGAAAGAGACAAGAACAACGTGCACAAACAAATATTTGTATTTGATGATTTTTGGGTTACAATCTCTCTCTATTTTGATCCTCTGATTCGATCTCCGTAAGGTGTTGATTTGTGGATGTTTCGTTGATCCAAGGGCCGTTGATGCTTGATCTTGGATGAACTGTTGGAAATTTCTTCAAAGGGCCGTGGGCTTGATCTTTGAAGGTGGATTTGAGCGGATCTTCAAGGAGCCGTTGGGGCTTGATCTTGAAGAACAGTGATGAACGGATCTTCAAGGGGTTTTGGGCTTGATCTTGAAGAACAGTGATGAACGGATCTTCAAGGGCTTTTGGGCTTAATCTTGAAGAACGGTTGGATGTGTGTGGATTTGTCGATGTTTGTTGATCCAAAGGGCCGTTGGGGCTTGATCTTGGATGAACGGATGATGAACGATGGTGCTTTCTTCAAGGGCCTTCGGGGCTTGATCTTGAATTGGTGGAAGTTCTTCAAGGGCCGTTGGGGCTTGATCTTGAATTGGTGGATGATTGTTGATCCAAATGGCCGTTGGGGCTTGATCTTAGGATGAACGATGAACGATGAACGAAGAACGCTTTCTTGATTCTTCGGGAACCTGGATGCTTGAGAGCTTCGGAGTTTCAGAGCTTCAGGGCCTCCAGGTGTAATATGAATTCCCTTCCAAATGAATGAAATTGGGCTTGTATTTATAGAATTTTCCAAGGCCTAATTTTGAATATAATATTCCAGATGAAATAAGTCGTTTCTGCCAGGTGTTGACACGTGTCCTATTTGATGACTTTTCCAACTCATTTCAATTTTCGTTGAGTCACACGCTACGTGTAAAATTTATGTAATACATGAGCGTTGACACTTTGATTTATCGGTCAACATTTATTTACCGAAATTTCGATGTCTACATTAAGAACCCAATAAAATCTCTAAATCTAGCTAGAAAATAATTTATTTTTCAATAGTACATCCTACAACTTAATTTGGTCTGATTGAGATGAAGTAGATGATCAGATGATGGGTAAGGTGGTTATTTCGAGCCTTTGAATTCAATAGAGAAACCGAGTGAAAGGGAGATAGAGCAGAGCAAGGACTAGAGAGAGGCTCAACGGTGGAGATCTAATATCAGGCTTCAAAACAAAACGAGCGTTTCATTTATTTAGTTTTCCATCCCATGCCCAAAACGACATAGTTTTGGCCCGGGTGTTTTGAAAAAAAGAAGAGAAACATAGCAACTACATCGCTGCAGTGCAGCGCAACGCCAAAACCAGAACTAACCAAGATTCCAGTAGAGTAGAGGGGTGGAATTCTCACTTTCAGTGGCGATTTACGATGAGTGGAGGGGCGGCCGCCCCTCCTTACCCCTTTGTAGCTTTGCCACTGCTGGCGAGTACAAATTATACTTGTGTTAAGTTTGATATTTAATTAGTGACTTATTTATTATGTGGCCTAACTCAATCCTTCTTCTTAAAACATTTTTGTGTATAAATAATAATAATAATCACTAGGGATGGGCGTGGGTTGGTTTGGGTCGGTTTTGGGCCAAAACCGATCTAGCGGTTTGTCTAAAATTGCAAACCAAAATCAATCAAGCCGAGTCTAAAACCAATTAGGTCGGTTATCCTATAATAGCTAGTTGGTTTGAATCGATTTTTGGTTTATGGATGATGCTGAGGGCTAGGGGTGGGCAAACAGGTCCTGAACTAGCGAGTAGGGGCAGGTACTAGCAGTTCGGGACAGGGGTGGGTCTATATTTTTTTATATCACAACGGGATGGGGCGGGTTCCTAATTCTTGAAGACACAGGCCCCCGACCCGAACCGTACCTAGTGTCTTTTGGTGGAGATTACATCTATGTTGTTCAAATCTCACACACACAGATACCGTTCACTTTCACAAAGAATGACTCCCAGACTGAATGATGAATCTTCTCTCCTTAGCCTTCCCT